TTCCCCAAAGCAGTTATTTGTCAAGCCTAACCAGACACAGCTCTGCACTTAGATCCAAATGGATTCCTGAAAGTATACAACATTATTGTGCCTTAGGATTATTTGTCACATTTTCCAGCACTACATGCTACATCTGGTAGTAGCTTCAAACACACTTTTGTGTGAAATCTGTCCAAAGGTTTGTAATTTTGAGCAGATTTCCTCTTGTCTGACAAATATTCAGGGACTCCTGGGAATTCATCAATGTAATCCTTTGATACAAATACAGTTTAACAATAAAGCAGCTTTATTATTTAATCTCAGTATCAAAATGAGTTTGTCAGTCATGACTTTGAGGACACAGAGCCCACTAACTGCATTTCCTCCCACAGGTTATTAAAAAGATCTTGGCTGTAGAGATGGGCCATGATTGTAAGCGCTTAATCACCACTTTTGGAACGAGAAATAAAACATGGCATGATACACAACGGCACTTTTATATACACTCTAGAGTAGCAGCAGCTTTTAAAGGAATCAATAACATTTAAAATCAATTTCAACATCAACAGGAAGCCAAATTATGGAAGCTCAACACAGTTCTTCTATGAATAGTTAAACATTTCAATATATCTGTAGAATGATTTAATACCTGACATTGATTATAATGTGTATGAAAGACTGACTTAGCTTCCAGGTCTTTAACCTGGATTCTATCTAATGGCCAGCAGGCGGCGGCTCTTGTGGCTGAAATGATATCAGATTATTATCATAGTCGTTGGGTGAATGACCCTCCAGCTCCCTTCATGTATGACTTCAGTAAACACTTTTTCTTTAAGTCTTTAGAAATTGAAATGCCAGTTTGACTTCTTACTGAATATAACATGATGCTCATGTTGTGTTCCCTGTGAGAGTCAAACAGTGTGTACTGTGCATGTGTGCTTGCAATTGTGCATAGTGTTTTGGGTTTTTTTGTAATAGCAAAGTGACTTGAGCGAATGCCCTCTCGTTAACGTTGGCGGTCCGTCCAGTTTACATGGTCTTCTGCCAATCCTGCATGACCATGTACTGCTCTTCGATTTCTCTTTTAGCTCCACCCCCTGCTTCTTATGACTGATTTTGATTTGCAGGCTTCACAAATCCATGATTGTAATGGTGGGCAACTATGGACCTGTTTACAAATTTACATTTAATTTAAAATTTGTGGGTCTGTCAAGCAGAATCCAGTGCTGTGATCCTTCACCAGTTGAAAAAAAACAATCCATTACAAAACAACCTGAAAAGATCTGAAACATTAAAGTCATCTATCAAAGCTAAATGCCAAATTATTTTCAGCTTCAAGTCTCGGGATTTGTTACTTTTTCTGTTTCATATCACTTCAAATCTCACATCTTTGAGTTTTTGTGTTGGAAATTCACCTTTCACTGGCATTTAATAAACTCAACAATAATTCAATTAAGAAGGAAATACCTCCAGGCTAAAAAAAGAGAACAAAATCCATTATTGGTTGCAGCTATAATCAGCAGCAAATATTTGTGTTTGTTTTCATCCACTCTGAAACCATCTAAATACTGTACTTTGAGTTTGCTGTACATACAAGCAGTGCTTTCGATTTATGAATGACTTTCAGCAGCCAAAGAAACGACACTGCTTTGGTGTTTGTTGTGATCAAGCTTTGCTTTTATAAGTGCATTCTCCACTGGGCACATGCTCACACAGCCTTTCAAGGTACTTGGCAGGAAGGACGTTTCATGAATCCTGCAGAATTTCAGTTCAGTGGCTGAAAACAGCTCTTTGACATTTTTGTTTCTACATGAGTTGAGCTTCAACAGTTTGTCTGTTTTATTTTTCTGACCAAAGTCTGGTAATTTCACAAAAATCTGCTGCTGGTACAAAAGCACATTTGTCATCACAGGTCATCATCATTACCTGCCAACTGAACTATGAGCCCAGTTTTTTTCTTCACTATGACATTTGTAAGACTCAAAAGAAAACAGTCTTTTCACGGTCACTGAAGCCAGAGAAGAAACACCTCCAGTACTGTACGAAATCCTCCACATCCTCCAGTGTGTCGAGTCGGAGAGTTCATTTCCTCTCCCAGCCTAATGACCCAAGTGGATTCTTCTGACTTTTTTTTGCTACATCAGCACTTTCTCAAGAGTTCCCAGAAGGCAAATGAGATGTAACCTTTACAGATAAATTAATAATGAGCAAAGAGTTGCAGCAGCAAAGGGAAGCTACTGTTAAAGCCCTTTAAACAAGCACTTATGACTCAAAGCTTCCATTTTTCACTGAAGAACCACTTCAACCTTTCTATGATTGATAACTTACTTCAACATATTGCTGGGAATTACTTCAGTTTGTTGAAGGACAATTTAACATTGCAGTGATGGAAAGAGAAAATTACTGAAACAAATGTAAACTACCCAAAACCTTTGATAGCACCGCCAAGAGTGCGTTATCGTTAAGGCTTAACAAATACACCACTTATCTTCTAACTGCACCAGCAGTTAGAGTCCAAATGATGGACCATCTTTAGTTTTCTTCATTTTCAATTCAGATTCACAACAAGTAAAAATCCTGACTGTCTTTAAACTACCTGAGTGATGTTTTTACGTCATTCTCCTAAAGGATCCTGGCAGTGCATATCTTCTAATTTACTATTTTAATTGTTAGTCAGACTCGACACCCCATCTGTCCACTGTGTTAGTGTCTGTTTTATTTACAGAGTTCGCAGTTTTATGGGCACAGTCAGCAACTCTTCTTCCAATAAACTGGACAGTATGTTGAGAAACGGCATCTACTCGCCTAATAGAACCACAGTCTACTGATGCATCCACTCATATAATATTTTATAAGACATTTATATACTAGTGTAATTTTTTTTAACGTAACTTTATTATGCAGAAACAGCTCCACTTTCCCACCCTCGGAGCCAAGTTTTTGGCAATAAAGAGGCATAAATTAAAAAGTGATAATATGCAGCAATTGTACATTACATGGATTGAATTCTCCAGTCAGGTCTTATATGTGTACATGAATCAAATAAGTGTTTTTAATTTGTTTTGTCATCTTTTAAATAATTAATGGGGGGCAGTTGGAATATATAACGCACTTCAGAGTTTTGTATGTTTATGATGTCATGTATGGCTGTGCTTTTTAGCCTTGTTAGCAAGCTAACTGCTGTTTTTGGAGACATGTTTCTAATGTTGCCTCTGTACATGAGCACAGTGGATTTAAAATCAAAAAATTAAGTTGTGTTTGAAGATCAGATTTTGAGTTTTAATTTACAAGCTTTAACAGAAGTGCAGAATTTACTGTTGAGGAATAACATACGTTTTTATACACAGCACCCCGTTTTCAAAGGCTCATGAGTACTTCGACAATTGATTTTATATGAAAGTTTTATGTCAAGGGGAGGCCTGTTCCCTCGTTATTCCATAAAAAAAACATTCAAAGAAAACTGGAATTGATTCCAAGTGTTGTACAAGTGAACCTGTATTTGGTAGTTGTGTTCAAAAGAGAGGCTGATGCAAGGGAAGGAGGCAAGTATTAGTCTGAAAAACCATTTAAAAATGAACAAAGACATAAAGCCATTTGAAAAATGAAAAAATTGGAAAAATGGTAAATGGCCTGTATTTATATAGCGCTTTACTAGTCCCTAAGGACACCAAAGCGCTTTACATATCCAGTCATCCACCCATTCACACACACTTTCACACACTGGTGATGGCAAGCTACATTGTAGCCACAGCCACCCTGGGGCACACTGACAGGCCAAATCAACAATCTGGTATATTCCTGAAAAGGCCAGCTCAGCAGCTCAGGAGCACCAAACACCTTCAAAGACCACAGAAGATGAAAATAATTCAAGAACGCTCAAAGAGGTAGCTGCATCATTGTCAAGGTCCACAAGAGACGCTTTCGTGAATGGAGACAACAGAGTGCAAACTTCTGGTTGCACTTAAGAACTATCAGAAAATACACTTTTATTAAACTTCCTGAATTAAAGTTGAAGAGCTGCACTTTAATTGCACCTTGATTGGTTAACTTAAATCCCACTGCGGTCATGCCACAAAAAATGTGTCACTGCACAAGAACTAATGGACCTACCTATAAACCCCACCACCTGACAATGTAGACAATACTGCTACAACAATGCTTCAGTTTGAATAATTATTTCTGTGTAGCATGGAAATGTTTCACACACAGGGTAAGAAAACACAGGGTAAACACACCAACACCACAAACTTCTGGCATGTCAGAAGTCATGATTATGTGATCACTGCTGTGTCCAAAAATATTGTTTGTGTTGCCTTTCTGCTACTCTCACCGTCACTCCGAGTGCCTGACTCACAACAACAACAACACAATATCATTTGCTTAAACGCACTACTATTTCTCACTTGTTTTCTTGTGTGATACTGCAGAGTAATCAAAGAGTAATTATTGCAGCTCTTTACAATCTCTGAAGCATACAATTGTTGTCTGCAGTTTTAAATTGACTAAGAGGCACTTACTCAGACACTTCTTTTAAGCCACTTTTTGGCAGAATCTTTTTTTACTTGTCAAAGTGAAAATACACTCAAACTTTTTTCTGAGACTGTTGAGAAGCACTCAAATGATTTAAATCTACATCCTTAAAGACTCTGCAAACTAAATCACTAAGTGAATGCACAACAGACAAGAGCATGCCGCTCCAGTAGATTTAGCAGGTTTTCTCTCAAATAAATTCCAAAAGTCACTTAGGTAACGTTTCTCTACCTACAGGAAGTGAAAAATTCAAATACGACAACACAAATCTGTTTAACAAGCAGCGAGGTTTCTAGAGAGATAGATGGATTCACTAACATTCAGTCTTTTATCCTCAGTGTCCCTTTAAAGCAATCAGAGAGCAGCAGAATGGGTTAGCGCGTTAGCTTGTGCATTCATGCTTTACACGCGGATCCACTGTATGTAAGTATGGCTCTCTGAGGGCCAACATCTGTTACAATATCTACCCGTGTTTCACTGCACTTACTCACCTTCCCATGAATCTTTGCACCCAGGGGGAGTCTTCGTGTTGCTATAGAGACCAGAATACAAAACATTGCTGAGGAGAAGGCAACGGCAGCAAACACGAGACCCCAGGAGAGGCTGCAGAAGTAACAGGAGCTCCCAGCAGATGTGCACACCAAGACGTGCACTGAGGCAAGAAGTAGGCACAAGAGGTAAAAAGGCAGGGAGAGCAGGGCCGAGAGGATGGGGAGGTCCACTGCTGCGGCACTGCTGAGGGCTTCAGGCATAGCCAGCAGTAAGACCAACAGGAGCTTAAAGGCCAGGAGAGACAGAGAGGAGAGAAAAAGTATTTTACAAATCTGATGCAATCATTGTAATCTCCAGTTTTATAACCTCCCCAATTTATGTGAACAGTGAAGAGCAATTTAATAACAAACATAATGCATGCATGTACACGTTTAACTGATTTCTAATTGAAAGAGACTTGTGATGCTTTTCTCTTATTTATTTATTTTTTATGCAGTCGTGCTAAAAAGGTTTTACAGATCAGGACAGATTAAAAATCATCTGGTCCTCAGTAGGTCTGAAAATTAGGTAAATACAACCTCGGATGAAAAACAGCAAATGATCAATTACACTGTTTCATTACATCCATCCATCTGCTTATCTAATTCAGGGTCGCAGGGGGGTAGCCTATCCCAGCTGTCATGGGGTGAGAGGCTCGGTACACCCTGGACAGGGGTCATTATATATTTAAGCAAAAGTGAGCCCAAATTTACAAGCAGTATGTGAAAAACTAAGTGCATCCTTACTGCTTCCTTAAAAGAGTAAATAGCAGCCGTGTACTGATAATCAAAAAATTTTTCAGTAAAGGGAGCACCTCTATAAAGTTTGATGGTCTGGAGCTTTTAGATGTGTGTTAACACAATGCCAAACAGCAAAGCCACAGCAGTGGTCTCAGAGAACCAACTGTTGCTCTCCATCCATCTGCAAAGGGTTATTAGGCCATTTCCAAACATCATTCTACAGTGAGAAAGATTATTCCCACGTGGAGATCAGACTGTGCAATGTTCAGAGAAACTGCAAAAAGCCCAAGAGCTCAAACTGTTAAATGTTGAAGTTCATAATAGTACAATAAGAAAAAGATTGAATGAGTAGGTCTTGTTTAGAAAGGTTGCCAGGAGAAAGTCTCTTCTCTCTAAAATAAAGAATTCAGTGTGTGTGAGCTAAAAGCTCAGCTATAAACGCTCATTTCAGACAGTTTCATGGCTATCACTGACATCAGTAGAAGGGGATATCCCTAATATCCCTAAGAAGAAAGCCGGCTTAAAGGGTCAGTGGCCTTAATGGAAGAGGACCTAAAAGAACCAAAACAGACAGTGGATGAACTAATGGGTTGTAGCAAGGCCCAGTACAAGATAAACACAATAGATCCCCCTCTAAAGTAAATCTATCTTAGGACGGCTTCATTGTCACAAATATTTCCACTATCAAAAAGAAAGCATGACACCTGGTGAGGGTTTAGTTTTTACTTTTTGTTGCCGTGCACCTCACTCCCACACTCTAAAGCTGATAAGCAGCACACCAAACTATTACGAGTGCAGATAAAAAAAAAATATGATGATCCGGTCCTTACCTGAAAGACAAACACCATGCCTGCAATCATGGAGTACATGTCATACTTGCCCAGCTGTTTGCTCAGAGCAGCGCTCATGGCAGCTAGGGCCTCCAGATACTGCCTCAGGACCTTTTTTCCCACGTTGGTCAGCACCTCGGAGGTGTTTCCTTCCAGGTAAAGCTTCATCCAGTTCCCGTGAGCCTTTTCTGCCACACGAAACTGCTCAAACCCCACCTCTGGAGTGGAGAGAAGTGGAAGGGAGCATGTTTTAAAGCACTATTATTTGCAATGCTCCAGCTACTGCAATCTGAATTTCAGGAGGGAGTGAGTGAGGAGGACATTTATAGCACCCGATTTTTTAACAGTTTATGAGGAATTTCATTAGGTTTACAGTTTGATTCTCACATAATTTCTTGGTTTGCTGCCATGTGATTAATCAGGACAAACCTTCTAAAATACAAAAACTAAGTTTTAGCTTTTATATAGAGGAGAAAAACTTTGCTGCCTGGATCTCTGTGACCTAAATGAAATATTCCTAATGTTACAGGATAAACCATTCGCTAACTGTGGGTATTATTTCCTCATAATAATGACCAATTTTTCCCCATATGCTGACATATTAATTAATTACAATGTTAAGCCACAGGTGGCTGATACTGGTACAGCTTGCGGAGTATTTTTACTACGAGCTCATTAAAAACCCAAACTGATCCATGACAAATGTGAAGAAAAGGTTTCATATTGCTGCCTACCCTGTTGTAATTTAGCCAAAAGAAAATGCAGACATATTCCAACTGCTTGTTTTCTTAGCAATGAGACTATTTATGAGTTCATCAATCATTGATGTTGAATTCTGTTTTTCAGAAATAGGAACCTATTAAATTTCATCATTTTCTTTTTCCCGCGTTCTTGTGTCAATAACGTTCGCTAAATTGAAAACAATACGCCTGTGGTAAAACCATTTAGTTTGGAGCAAAGCAATGTACAATTTATCAAGATGCTAACTATGACAAGCTGTGACTCATTCGCATGTTTACAGATGAAATTATGCTCCCTTTCATTTTACTTCAGCCTGTTCAAGGACGAAGCAACGTGTAGGCTTGTGTAGAGTTGTGGTATACTTCAGTGAAACACACACACACTACTAAAAACAATCACCTATCTCAGCAGCATAGGCAGAGATGATAAATAGTCACTGTGGCTTTGCCAGACAGAAGGGTTGGTTGAAATATCAGAACTTTAAGCCACAGGCATGAATCATGCAATATCAATGGCCCTGGTCATGTTTCATCTGTCTAAAAGTACAGGGATTGGTTAA